ACCTCTTCCTCCAGACGGAGAACGGAAAAGGGAGGATGACCACGAGCAGGGACAGGATGGTGAAGAGGAGGGGACGGGGAAAAAGGAGAAGGGGGATGCGGAGGGGGCGGCCTGGTGAAGCACAGGAAGGATGACGGCGAAGGAAAGCGAAGGACGGCGGAAAGGTCGTCGAATCAAGTGGTGTAGCTTCGAAGAAAGACAGGGGTGGGAGGACTTCTGGTCGAAGTCAAGCGTCTGCCCCGATTGGTCTTGGGACTATGCGGGAACGGCCGAAGGGAGGAGTGCAGGTTGGTCGCCCTCCCCTTCCTGTCACTGTCACCATCATCCAGTACCCACTCTGATTGCACGTTCATTGCACGGTCCTCCTTTTCCTGGCCCTCTGCTGCTCCTGCTTGTTACTCCTTGTCTCTTGCACGATCTCTCCTGCTTATCCTGCTACTCTTCCGTCGTCGAAGCCTCATCTCTTCTATTGTTCTGCCCCCCTCCCTCATCGCCCTCCACCACCTCTTTCTCCTACCCGCGCCTGCTCATCATCCATGTTTTATTCCGCCTCCGCAATTCCCTCTGCTCAAAACGAAGCAGGGTCACCCAGCGCCACTTCACAGAGCAGGGAGGGGCGCCATGGTGCCGCTACCATAGACACCAAAGTTGGAAGGGGATGGTCGACCACTCAATGTATGCTTCGATGTACAGCAAACGAGACCTCGGGGGCGAGGGTACAGTCAAGACGCTGGAATGAGGAACCGTTCGGGTTCGGAAAGGGCTCGCTGTTCCTCCGGTCCTTCCGTGGCTGCTCTTCTAGCGTTCATCGAGCACCCAAGCGGGATCGGAGCTAAAACGGGGCATTGCTTCTCATTTGGCGTGCCGTTTGACAGTATCAATTATGATCCCCCCGCATCCCTGTTCCTACTCCTTGCCTTCTCATAGTCGTCCTCTTCCTCGGTGGGGGTGGTGTGAGTGAGGTGGTGTGGGGGTGGCCTGGCTGCGAGTGACCGGTTGGTTGGCGTCCAGCGCACCCCACCCTCGTTCTCGCCCTTTGTCTCGTTATCTACGTTTCTCGTCCTCATCCTTTTCCCTTTCATTTTCTGTCTATTCCCCATATTCTCTTTCGTCCCCTCCTCTCCTCGGCATCATTCTCGTTCCTCCCTACACTTCTCTGCTCCCTGCGGCTCGTCGGATTCACCGATGCACCATTTCCATATCTTGTCCCCTACTCTTTCATCTGATCATCTTACCCACATCCGTCGCTCTCTCTTCTCCTCTCCGACCCATTTCTCTTGGTAGTCTTTCAAGATTCATCGGAGTGCTGGAGCCCAGCTTTAGAAGCTTAGATGGCATCTTGGGCATCCTGTAGACCACGGACTCTACGTTTGGAGGCTCTGGAGGCCCCAGGGACGCGTTTACGAGCTCGTACCCCCCCTCCTCTCTACTCGGATTTCAGACCACATGGGAGGGGGAAAGGGGAGTGGGGACTGCCAATCATCTCACACGCCTTTGCACCCCTGGCACGCGGGGATCGGCGGACCTCCGTTACCCTCTCGTCTCCTCTCCCAGCCATTATCAAGCTTCTCGTCCTCCTCCCCAGTGCCCTCCTCAGATTCCTCCCCTTCCATCCCCGCGTTCTCCTTCTCTCTCTCACCTTAACCACCTCAACCTTCCTCCCTCGCCCTCCTCATTCTCCTCTCGCACCCGCTCTCCAACACCCTCTCGTGCTCATCCCAGTCTTCCTCCTCAACCGCCCGGTTTCGGCCTGAGAAGGGTTGTGGAGTTCTTGCCGCTGGCATGCCAGGTCTGTGCGAGCCGGCTCCGCCCAAGCGGGAGGCGTGCAGGGCCATCCCTGGCCCCTGGCTGGTCTGCGCCTGGTACGGCTCGGGGCTGCGCGCAGACAGCCTCCCCGAGGCTGTTCCGCCTGGCCTCGGCAGGCCCCCCCGAGACATCCAGGGCGGTCTCATCACCCCAGCCTCGGGGCGCGGTGCGGCCTCCACAAGGCTGTTCTGCCTGGCCTCGGCAGCCCCCCCCCCCCCCGAGACATCCAGGGCGGTCTCATCACCCCAGCCTTGGGGCGCGGTGCGTCCTCCAGAAGGCTGTTCCGCCTGGCCTCGGCGGCGCCCCCCGAGACATCCAGGGCGGTCTCATCACCCCCGCCTTGGGGCGCGGAGCGCCCCAAGGGCGCCCCCGGAGGCAGCGCTGGGGCTTTGAGAGCACTGGACCATTCGGGTGGTACGTTGAGGCCAGCCGGGACTGCCTCAAATCGGCTCCAACATCGGGAGACGTCGCCCCAGAGCGTGCTGGAGCGCTCACTGAGCGCTGAGCGTTCCGGAACGCTCTGAGTAGGACGCGGCGCCCGACGCATTCCTCAGAGTTTCGGGATCTCAGAGATCTCCGATGCATCCAGGCCCGATGTTGTCCCTGTCCTGGTGTCGTCTTCCCTGACCCCTCGCGGCAGGCATGCAGACTACGAGCGGCATCGGCAGCGTCACGCCCGCGCCCCAAACGAGCTGCCCCCGGTCGCCGTCGCGCCAGATGGCAGCTCCCTGCGACGAGGGACGATGACGCCAGCGGAAGACGACGGACGGCGACGACGGCGGATCGCGACGTCGACGGCGGCGACGACTGCGACGGCGGCGGTGACGGCGACGGCGACGGCGACGTCGACGTCGTAGCTGTCGGTGGAGCTCCCTGTGGGGCCACGAAGCGTGTTGGAGATGTACCCGAATTGTCGCGTTGGGCGCATGCGAACGCGTGCGATGGGTGTGCTGACATTGGTGCGGTAGCGCCAGGCGAGCGCAGCCACTGGGGCCTTCGGTGGAGCTCCCTATGGGGCCACGAATCGTGTGACGGATGTGCCGACATGGGTGCGGTGGCGCCATGCGAGCGCAGCCGTTGGGGCCCCCCTCCGTGAAGCTCCTTTTGGGGCCGCGAAACATGTGAGATGTGTGCCCACACGGGTCTGGTAGTGCCATGCGAGCGCAGCCCTTTTGGGCTTTCGGTGGAGCGGGCCACGAAGCGTGCGAGGGGTGTGCCGAAGTGGACGGGGTGGCGCCATGCGAGCGCAGCCACTCGGGCCCTCCGTGGAGCTCCCTATGGGGCCACGAAACATGTGAGACGTGTGCCGAAATTGACGCGGAGGTGCCATGCGAGCGCAGCCACTGGGGCCCTCGGTGGAACTCCTTACGGGGCCACGAATCGTGTGAGGGGTGTGCCGAAATAGGCACGGTGGTGCCATTCGAGCGCAGACATTGGGGCCCTCCCTGGAGCTCCCTGCGGGGCCACGAGGAGTGTGAGCGGTTTGCCAACATGGGCGTGGTGGTGCCATGCGAGCGCAGCCGCTGGGGCCTCCCGTGGAGCTCCCTATGGGGCCACGGAACAGGTGAGATGTGTGCCGAAATTGACGCGGAGGTGCCATGCGAGCGCAGCCACTGGGGCCTTCGGTGGAGCTCCCACGAATCGTGTGAGGGGTGTGCCGAAATAGGCACGGTGGTGTCATGCGAGCGTAGCCATTTGGGTCCTCGGTGGAGCTCCCTAGAAGGCCACGAAACGTGTGAGGGGTGTGCGGAAGCTGAGACATGCCTCCCTCATTCCCCCCTCCTCCCGCATGGCGGGAGGAGGGGGTAGGAGGGAGGGGGGAGGGCAGCGGGAGGAGAAGTGAGGTGACGCGGGGCGCTGTGTCTTCAGAACGAAAACCCAACACCGCATAACGAATGGGAATCATGACGGGACGGCGCCCCGTGCGCCGAGGGACGACGGCGGCGGCGATGGCTCAGGCCCCGTCGCGTTTCGCCATTCTCGGCGTCCGTGGGCCAGTATTGGGCCGCGGGACCGTCAACACACGACGCGGGATGAACGGCCGGTCCCTCGGAGGAGGTCTAGACCGGAGTCCATTTCATGAACAAATCACGACGTCGGGGGTTTGGGGACGGCGGCGACGGCGATGAAGGGCGGCGACGACATTTTCAGCAGTGGGGAGGGGCCCGAGCGAGCCTGGGCGCCCGAGCGCCGATTCGATTCGCTATGCACCCCCCTTCGCTACGCACGCACGCGAAGGGCCACCCCTGCGTGCTATGTCCGCCATGCACGCACGGGTGGCCCTTCGCTGGGGTGGAATTTGATGCGCGGGTTTCGGGGGGAGAGCATGCTGCTTCACATGATTTTGATGCCAAGAAATTGACGATGAATAGGATCCGTCAGTGGATCAGTCCTGTGTACTGACGTAGAAACTATGATAGTTGTTTTTGGTAGGGGGTCAGCTTGTGATGCCAACCCATGCCCACCCCGTCCCGTCTCCAGAGAGTCCGCATCCCCCTATGATGGTGGGATGGGGAGACTGTCTGCCGTCCCCTGCGCCGCACGTACTGCTCAGGGTTAGACGGGAGTTGAATTGAATTCTTTACGCTTCGCGTATCCCCACCAGCCCATCTCACAACAGCAACTCATGCGAAGCATGCCGACAGTCGTGTTTTTCAGGCGTGTGTCCGTTTGGCCCCGCATATCTCCCCTTATGGTGTTATCTTATGTATTTGTTATTTTCTTTTCTTCCTTCACACGCCTCCTTATACATCCCTATTGTGGGCGGTCACGACGAGCGGCGAGTAGAAGGACGAGGCGGAGGAGGAGGGAGAGAAAGCGCTCCTCGTGATTTGAGTCGTTTGGGGTTTCTCGTCCTGGTGTGAGTCGTTCGGGCCCCTCTTCCTGGTGTGAGTCGTTCGGGCTCTTCGTGGTGTGAGTCGTTCGGGCTCTTCGTCCTGGTGTGAGTCGTTCGGGCTGCTCGTGGTGTGAGTTGTTCGGGCCCCTCATCCTGGTGTGAGTCGTTCGGGCCCCTCCTCCTGGTGTGAGTCGTTCGGGCTCCTCGTGGTGTGAGGCGTTCGGGCACCTCGTCCTGGTGCGAGTCGTTCGGTCCCCTCGTGGTGTGAGGTCGTTCGGCGCCTGTCCTGGTGTGAGTCGTTCGGGCCCCTCCTTGTGGTCGCTGTGAGTCGTTCGGGCTCTTCGTGGTGTGAGTCGTTCGGGCCCCTCGTCACTGGCGTGAGTTGTTCGTTCGGGATCCTCGAGTGGGGCCTCTTGGGGGGCTCAGTGGAAGCATCTTGGGGCCTTTGGGGGGCCTCTTGGGGCCGCCTCTGGGGGCTCTTCTTGGGGGACTCTTGGAGCCTCTTGGGGCCTCTTGGGGGCCTCTTGGGGGCCTCTTGGGGGCCTCTTGGGGGCCTCTTGGGGCCTCTTGGGGGCCTCTTGGGGGCCTCTTGGAGGCCTCTTGGGAGGCTCCTGGGGGCCTCTGGGGGCCATCTTGGGGCCTCTTGCGACCTCCTCAGACGCGCAAAGAAGCGCTGCCCCCTGAGAAGGACAAAATGAGCCCAAAACCTTCGTAACATTAATGATTTTGCTATGAAGGAAGATGAGCGCGGCCCCCTCGGGAGGCCAACATGGGGCCAAAACCATCGTAAAAGCAAGGATTTTGGCTTCACAGAAGAGGGGGGGGATTTAAGTGCGTCCCCCCGTCAGAGCCTCTGGGGCCAGATATCCTCGAGCGGGTCCGTCGTTTTTTGGCCCCCCAGGAGTCGAAAAAAGACTCCCTGGCGACCTCGGCCCGCACATCTCAGGAACAGGGGGATGGGGTAGGGGGAGGGGTAAACCCCTCCCCGAAGGGGAAGAAGGGGGGTTGAGGACAGAGAGAGCTCCCTAAACCACTCACGCCCAAAGGGCTGGTGGGATTCTTTGAGGAAGCCCCCCGTCCATCCTCCGTTCCTTCCTCCGCCTGGTCCTGTCGGCGATGGCCCGGTCCTGCAAGTGCGTCCGAAAGTCCTGGGGGCCCGAATAGTCCTGCCGGGCCCGAGGCCCTCCCCGGAACATGATGGAGGATCTCTCCGGCGCAAGGCCGGAGGATCCCCGCTAGACCCAAATCAATAGCGGATATGCCGGCACGCCGGTTTCTCGCCAGTGCTTAGGAGAACGCCTCGGCCACGAGAACGCCACACATCAGAGCGCCAAGCCGACATTCCAAGGATGGGCTGGCAGCCCCCAGAAGAGGGTCTGGGCTCCTGGTCCTGTCGGCGATGGCCCGGTCCTGCAAGTGCGTCCGAAAGTCCTGGGGGCCCGAAATTCCGAAAGGTCCTGCCGAGCCCATGTTCCGTGTTCCGCGAGGCCTTCCCCGGAACATGATGTCCCCGGAACATGATGGAGGATCTCTCGGGCGCAAGGCCGGAGGATCCCCGCTAGACCCAAGTTAATAGCGGATGGGCCGGCATGCCGGCTTTTCGCATGGCGCATGCCCACGTCTTGAAGAGTTGCTCCGTGTAGCCAGATACATCGATGAGGTGTTGTCCGAAACCGCTGAGAGCGTCGTGGCGGAGGGTGGGCGGGAAGGTCAACTTGGCCATCCGCGCCACGATGCCGAGGACCACCGCGCGCTTCATTCCTCGAGGGACGAAGCTGTAGTAGGGCACGAAGCCGTCGAACTCGAAACCCCGACCCGTGCCGCGTAGGTCCCCGACGGCAGGTCGGGTCTCCACAGACCCGACCACGTTCAATTGGATGTCCATGGCGACGAACATGAGGGCTTGCATGGCATCTTTGCTGTTGCTGCTGCTGTGGCATCGCACATGCTGCTGTGGCATCGCATGCAACGATCGGCAAGCCGCGCGCCAAACGCCACTCTTGCGTGAAAGAGGGGCGCGGCCCGCGGCGAGGCTGGGCCCCTGACCTTTCCTGTCGACCTGGACAAACGCTGCGCTGGAGTGCAAGCTCGCATTCTTCTGTGCCCAGGGCTACTTCCTGGGCCTCGGGGCCGTCGCAAGACTACTCCAGGGGCTAGCGACTCGGGAGTTCAGGGGCTGACGACTTGGGTCGATCGCGGATGGATCGTCGGCGGGTCGGCGGGCGACTAGCGCGGCGGGCCTCGGGTGGAACGCGGGTGGCCGGTGGATTTGCGGGGCAGGTCGCCAGGCAGGTCGCCAGGCAGGTCGCGGGGTGGTCGTGGGGTGAGTCGCAGGGAGGGGGCGGGCGACAGCGACGACAGCCCTTTGCAGCCACGCACCCAAGGACAGTGTAAGACCGTTCGGCCCCCCTCACTCTGACGTGGGGTGGTGTCGGGAGGATCCTCCATGGAGGCGTACACGATCGGCAGTGCCACAGCGGGGACGTCGAGCATGTAAGTCGGCTGTTCCTCGATGGTGAAGAGGGGGTCCTCGATGTGCAGCATTCTCGGGAGGATCTTGTGGAGTGACGGCGAAATGACGAAGATCGCAATGTCCTGAAAGCGATGTCGTGGACCAGCGGGTCCTGGAGCTATGAGCTCCATGGGCAAGCGGATGAACTCGTCGCGCTTCACCAGTGACGGTGTCGTCCCTTTCTCGCTGAGGAGCGGGTGCCACCAGAGGTCGCGCAGCGTCACGATCGAGGAGCACTTCGGGTAGACCTCCATCGGCGTGATCTCGCGGATGTACTGCGGGACCGAGTTGCTACTGCTGCGCTTCAGCATGGCGTTGAGGAGGCGCCCGAGTGCCAAGGCGTCCGTCGGGGCCCAAAAGGTGATAGGGGCGTTCTGGATGCCACCCCAGAAGGAGACGTCGCCCTTCTCGGCTGCATCGGCGAGGCGGCGGCCCGCGTCGACTTGAAGCACCCTCGCCCCGGTGGCACTTTGGAGCGTCGTGCTCTCCGAGTGCAGCAAGCCGTGCTGCACATCGAGGACCCCTCTTCACCATCGAGGAACAGCCGACCTATACACTCGACGTGCCCGTTGTGGCATTGCTGATCGTGTACGCCTTCATGGAGGATCCTGGGATGAGCGGAGCTGTGATCGGCCGGGTCTCACGCAGCCCAGGCCACACCGCCGATGCTCCAAGAGGCATCGTGGAGATCCGATTTCACAAGAACATCTCGGCCCTCGTCCCAGGCGGGCGCCCTCCCACCTCCCTCTTCTTCCTCCTCCTCCTCCTCCTCCTCCTCCTCCTCCTCCTCCTCCTCCTCCTCCTCCTCCTCCTCCCCCTCCTCCTCCTCCCCCTCCTCCTCCTCCTCCTCCTCCTCCAAGTTCTTTGGCACTGTGCATGGGCACGCCACGGTCGCGCCGCCTCGTCGCGGCGGCGACTCCTCAGGCTTGCAGTTTCTGTTGCTGTTTGGTGGGCTTCGAGAGGTCCCCCTCGCGTATATAATCGCCCTTTTTCTCTCTGCTCCGGTCCTCCCCCTCGTCTGCCTTCCTCCTCGTCTCTTCCCCCGTTCTCCCGCCTTTCCCTCGCTTCCTTCTCCTCTCCTTCCCCACTCCTGCTCCCCTCCCCTCGCCCTTGACTCCTCCTCCTCCTCCTCCTCCTCGCCCTGTCGCTTTTCTTCCTTCACCTCGCTCCTTCTTCTTTCTCCTCCTCATCCTCCTCTTCCTCCTCCTCCTCCTCCTCCCCAACAGTCCTCCTCATCCTCTCTCCTCATCCTCCTTCTCATTCTCCTCCTCTCTCCTCCTCCTCTCTCCTTCGCCTCCTTCTCCCTCTCCGAGCGCCGAGGTCCACGCGTTCCCAGGTGGAGGTGCCGGCGAAGACCTTTGGCGATATAGGCGTTTCCGCAGGGGGGGCCATGGGGCTCCCGTACCCTGTTCAGCCCTCCTCATGTCCTGTTCCCCCCTCGTCGTGTTGTTTCCTCTTCCTCCGTATCATCTTTCTCCCTCGCCCCTCCCTCGTCCCTCCCTCCTGCCTCCCTCCATCCCCTCCCATACGCCCTCTCCTCCCTCCCTCCTCTCGCCGAGCCGGTGCGCGACGCGGCCACTTCACATGTCAGCCACTTGCTACCAGCGAGTGCCTAGCGATTGTGCCTCGGGGGGACTCCCGTGCCAGCCCAGGGGCCGGCGGGGATGTCTGTGACGGCTTGGACTCGGCCCGTGACCCCGACTCCGATGAGATCCAGGATTGGAGTCCGACCAGGACAGGGGGGCAAGGGCGGATGGGGGCCCGACCGTGGCGCCCGCACCGCGGCACGGGAGCGCCACCCTGGCTGACATTCCGGCCATGCTGCGCAGTACGCCATGGCTGCGCGGGAACGGGTCCCCGGCCGATATCCCGCCAGCGTCCGCGCGAGCGAGGCCATGCCCACGTGGGGGGGCGTTCCGCGGCGAGAGCGCGGCCGAGGTGCCGCCGCCTGTCGGGGCGTCCGCCTGGGTGGTGGACGACGCGTCATTCGTCCAGTTCATCCGCACGCGAAGCCCCATGGACGGTGCGCTGCGCCTGCGCCCTCGCGTCCTGCGGGCCAGGGCGAGGACGAGGACCAGGACGAGGACGAGGAGGGGAATGCCCCGAGGCCCGGCGCCGACGCCCCCGCCGCCGGAGGAGGCGGCCGGCCACGGCCTCGGGGCGCCCTGCTGGGAGAAGAAAAAGGATGGGCCGCGCTCGTGAGTGCAGGCCCGCCGCACGGTGCCCGACACGCGTACGGGCCATGCAGCGCACCGCCGTCGTACCCTCGCCTCCCCCTCTCCTTCGCCTCCTCCTCCGAACTCCATAGCTGCCTGCACGCCCTCCTGTGCTCAGCTGCGTTTTTGCTCTTATTTGGCGAAAGCTTGAGAGGTCCCTTCCAAGGTGTGTTCCCCCTGTTCCCCCTCTCGTTCGCCTCCTCCTCCTTCTCCGCCGCTCGCCTGGGCAGTGATTCATTGACGTTTCGCATACCCCCACAAGCACCCGGTTGCCCCCCCTCTGCTGATTTTTGGGGTCCGCGTGCTGGCAGCATGGCTTCGGCTGTCTCTATCGCGGTTGCCCTCTTCTGCTGACACACGCTCAGCGGCTTGGGCTCGCGTTCGGTTTGCCCCCACCCGCGGGCTGAACCGTGGCCGCCTCTTTCTAATTATCTGCAGGTGCACTCTGCGCGGTGTCGCGCCAATTCTCTGTCGCTGTGCCCCAGCCTCGGTCATACCGCCCTCTGGACTTCTCCTTGCGGGCCGCGAATCAAAAATATCCCCACCAGCCCATCCATAATTGATTGCCAGTTTTCTTGAGGCCTCTTTGGAGGCTATCTTGAGCCATGCTCGGCTAGAGGCTGTCGGAGGCTATATTGAGCCATGTTCGGCTATCTTGGGCCATCGTGAGGTTGCCTTGAGGCCTCTTGGAGGTCTGCCGGAGGCTATCTTGAGCCATGCTTGGCTATCTTCGACCATTTTGGAAACCATATTTGCCCATCTGGGGCTCTCTTGGAGCCATTTTGGGCCAAACAGGGCGGGGTGGAGGGTCTTTGGGGAGAGGCTGGGAGGCCTCTTGGGGTCATCTTGGGCCCGTGGCTCAAAAAGAGGAGGTCCCTCAATTCGCATCGCCTTCTCGGAGGCTCTCAAACGGCATCTTGGGGCCCTCTTGGAGCGCTCTTGGGCGTTCTTGGGGCCGTCTTCGGCCTTCTTGGGCCCCTTTTGGGCCTCTGTTGGGCCATCTTGGGGCCATCTTGAGGCTTCCAAAGCCCATCGGAAGCGAAAAGGCGATAATGCCAAAAACATGTATTTCTCTTGGCTGTTGAAGGGTTTTGGCATCTTGGAGGACGCCGTGGAGGGCTCGGAGGGCACTTGGGTCCGTCTTGGGGCTGTCTTGGGGCTTCTTGGGGGTATGTCGGAGGATATCTTGGCCCATTTTGAAGTAGCATGGGCCATCTGTGAGGCCATCTTGCGACTTTGAAGTCCTCTCGGAGCGTTTTTGGGCCATCTTGGACGCTGCGGCACCTCCGTCCCCCCCCTCCCAGGCCCAGGGGAGGGGGTAGGAGGAGGGGTAGAGAGAAGAACAAAACAACCTGAACCCAGAGGGTTCGTGGGATTGACACGGGTGGCCTCCTTGCGTTTCCGTCTCACCTTCAGTGGGGAGCAGGATGTGTCCGATCCCGAGGTATACTAGATCTGTTCGTTCCCATCTCCTACTCCTCAACAAAAGTGGGCACCGCCGTCATACCTTTGCTTCTCCTCCACGGCCGCGACCCTTGCCTTAGCATTGGCGCTACCCGCTGGCCACCAGGTCATGTCCGTCACGTCCGTGTGGATTTCCGCGCCAGTGGCGCCAGGTTGTCGCGCGTGGGTCCCTTCGGCGGGCCAGGCGGACGCACAACAGCAGCTTCAGGGCCGTGCCTGAACCTACCCGTGGGCATGTCAGCTCCAGCATTGCTTTCCTGGTGGAGTACGGTAAGTTTTCGTCGTGTCGACGCGCGCGGGCGTTCAAGGATGAACACCTCCAGCGGCCCAGAATCGGCTAATATGGAGGTCGAAAAGCTGCCGATCGTTCAAGGTTAAACGGCCCACGCGGTGTCAGAACCAACGCAGGGGTCGTTATTACACGAACCTTCCGCACGCGCGGTGCGCCTTCCCGCTTTTGCCGGCACGCGGGTTGCCCTGCGGACATTGTTGCTGTGAGGCGCCCCTGCCACAGCCAGCGCAAACGGTGCATCCGTATGGCGGGCGTCTGCTCGCCGCCTTTGGTGCGCTCCGGTGGCCACCTTCAGGGCAGCTACTGGGCCCCTCCCCCGACGACATCAAACTCTCGGCGTGCGCCTGGGCTAACCGCTACCGCCGCAGCGCGCCAGGGGCGAGCGCTCCTTGTGCTGGACGGACTGCCGTCGGATCTTGCCGCCCCTTCCGTCCGGGGCCTCTTCCTACTACCTCGTCCTCCCTCCTCCCCTTTCTCGCCCCCCCCCGCCCTCTCCTCCTCCCTAACAATGCTTCCCCTCCGCCCCCCTCCCAATCGACCCGCTGCGAACATGGGTACGTTGCGGTCGCTAGTAAGCGCGAGGGAATACCTCCCCAAGGGGGTTTAGCCTCGCTTCGTCGGCCGCGCCACGGGTTGAAACGCCTCCTGCGCGCGGTGGCTGTCCGTGACGGGGGTCGATGTGAGGTTGCCGGCAGGAGCGACGTTCTGTCGGCATTTGTGATGCAATCCAGGCGTGGTTGCTCACGCATGTCGCACTCGTCCCCGTCCTCCTCGTGGTGGCGCCAGCGGTGGTGGGTGGGGATTGGGTCTTTGGGTTTTGTTTCCCCCACCCCCTGGGGCGCTTGCTATGGAACTCGAGGGTGTCGGCGGTCGTTGCCCCATCCTCCTCGCACGTCCCCCTCGTCCTCGTCTTCCTCCTCGGGGCGGCGCCACCTGGGGGTGGGCGCGTGGGCTGCGGTATTGTATTGATCCTCTTCGTTTCTGCGCCATTCTGGGGCCCGAGGCAGAACCGACGTTCCGCGTGCTCGAGGGAAGGAGCGATGGAGAGGGAGAAGGAAAGAAACATTGAGAGAGAAAGATAGAGAGAGAGCGCGGGAAAGGAAACACACATTAGTTATTCCAGCGGTGCATGAACAGATGTTTGAATTGCTCGTCGCCCTTTCCTCCCCGCCCTGTCGGAGGGTCTCCTCCCGCCGTGTGATTGGCTTCCTCCTTTTCCTCTCCCTCCTCCTCGTCCTGCCCCCCTCCTTCTGTCAATCCGCCTTGTCCTTTTCTTTATTTTCCTCCTCTTCCTCTTCTTCCTCCTCCCCCTCCTCCTCATCCTCCTCCGCCTCCTCCTCCTCCTTGTCATCCTCATAATCATCAGCAGCAGCATCATCATCCTTGTTTCTTCCTGCTTCGTCCCCTGATGCGCCTCCCCTTCCATCTGGCCGGGGCACGCATTTCGATGTTCATTGGCGCCGCCACTGCCTCGGCCATCACGGGCGCGCTCTGGCCAGATCGCGAAGTTGTTTGGGCAACCCCGCGGGCCACGCTTGTTACAACAAAACGGAGCGATAGAGAGAGAGAGACCGAACAAGCAAAAGCTTAAACCTATAAACCTCATGGGCGGAGCAGCGGCGTGCGCTCCGAACCCCCGCCTGGAGGTAGGTGCACAGGGCGGGAACCGAGGTTCAGCACCGATGCTGGTATTCCTCCCTCGTGTCTGCTGTTGTGGGTTGCCTGACAGGCCGTCGTCGTTACGGCTGGATTCGCTTCGGATTTTTTTGCCAGCGTGCGCCACGGGAGAGGTCATAGGAGTCGCGGGGGTGGGGATGGAGGAAACTTTCGGATGTATGTGTGGCAGGGAGGAGAGGAGGAGGGAGAGGGAGGAGGAGGATTGGCTGCTGCGTGGTGGCAGTAGCTGTGCGGTTGCGGCATCCCTGCTGCACCCGTGATGCACTGTTGCTTTAGCGACACCCTGGCAGGCGCGAAGCTGGACGCGCTGCTGGGCGACTCCTATGCGATCGGCCGTTGCCGTCCCGCGGACCCCTATCTGTGGAAGTCGTGGGCGAGACCATCTTCGAGCTGGAGGTCTTTGCAGTTCTCCAGAGGTCCACAGAGGCATTTGGCTGCGCTCGGCGGACCCTGTAAGCTCGTGAGCAAGCCCATCCAAAGGCGATTTCCAGGCGAGTCGCTCTGATCAGGGAAATGTATGATAATCCAGAGAACAGACAGGTGAGCCAGCCGTCAAACCCAAGCTCAGAATCAGCCTGGGCATCCCAGGAGTGGAATCGCTGAGCCTACCTTTGAAGGAGCAGGAGGAGGCCACGGACAATGTGGAGGCGGAGGACGGGCACGACCGCGGAGGATGAAAAGGGATGTGGTATAAGGAGGGTGAGGAGGAGGAAGGCGAAGAGGAGGAGGAGGAGGAGGAGCAGGAACAGCAGCAGGACCAGGGTAAGCCCAAGGCGCACCAACGATGTTGCAATCCAACCTCCCTACAACTTCCCGCTTCACAGGTCCCTACGAGGATTCATTTCACTGCTGGATGTGCCTCGTTGGAAGACGACCGTTTGAGTATCCGCACTCGTGCCAGGACACCACTCTTTGGACTTCAATGCCGTGAATCACTGTTACGGTTTCGTCCTGCCGATCCTGCAACGTGCCAGAGCACCTTTTTGGGGAGTTCGACATCGCGAATCGACGTTACTGTTGCGCCCTGACAACCCTGTGTCGCGCCGGAGCACCAGTCCTGGGACGTCACCCGTAAGAGTACGTTCAACCGCAGTAGTGTGTAAAGACGGATGCGCGCGGCAGAGAATCGCATGTTTTAGCAGAGCCGCCTTCCAGATAGGAACGTCTTGCAGATGTTTAAGACGAGTGTGCGCCGCGCTAAAGCGAGCCACATTTTGAAAGCCACCCGCCCTCCATCCGTTTAGCCCTTGCAAACTGTCGAGCCGATGTGCGAGGCGCTATAGTCAGACACGCCTTCCGAAAACCACAAGCCCTACATTTGGAAGCTCTTGCAACCGTTTCAGACGAATGCACTAGGCAATAACGCGAGGGCCACATTTTGAAACGGAGCCGTCCTCTATTCGCGGAATTCTGGCAAGTTGTGAAGACGAATATGCGCGGCGCTCAGGCGAGAGCCGCATTTTTTCACCCCCCCCCCTCCATCCGCGAAGCTCCTTTTTTATATTTTTATATATATATATATATATATATATATAACCGCATGCCGATGATAATAAAGGGACCCCCCCCCCCCTTCAGTGTTTAGAGTTGATTATCGTCGCCCTATACAAAATTCAAATTGGGCGGCGAGCGCTGAGGCCGAACTTCATTATCACCTCGAAACGCTATGTTGAGATAGCAACATCAAGCGATGTTGATATAGCAACATCAAGCGAAGCGATCACACTTTTTCAGGATGTGTCAAGCGAAACCAATAATTTTGGGAGGCAGACTCAAACGAAACGAGCCATGTTCTTATTATTCTTCTACTTGCCTCTTCTTCTTTTATATTTCTATCTGTCCTCACGCTCGCCTGAACTTTTTTATCCCTGGGGTTGATTATCCATGGAAAATGAAGCACATGAGCTACCCTACACGAGCACTTAAAAAATCAATTTTCATAAAGCGTTTGTAAATTAAAATTGATAGATTTGGAACTTTGGATTTTTCCTTTCTTCGTCCTCTTCTTATTCTCCTCTTCTTCTTCTTTCTTATTATTCTTCTACTGTATTCTTCTTCTTTTATATTTCTCTCTGTCCCCACGCTCGCCTGAACTTTTTTATCTCTGGGGTTGATTATCCATGGAAATTGAGGCACATGAGCTACCCTACACGAGCACTTACAAAAAAACAATTTTCATGAGAGATAGGCCATTGTTGAGGATATTTCTATGAAAACTAAACGCCAAGGATGTCTCAAAACGTGCTCGGCTTGGTCTCCTCTTGATCATCTCTTACTTCGAGATTATGCTGAGGTCTGCTGGGCTACTTTTACTATCTCTCCCTGAACCCCGAACTTTATTATCCCCTAGTGTTTATTCTCACGGGCATGAGGTTATATACACATATATATATTGTATAAAAAAAGCGAAAGTGCGAGGCGCTAAGGCGATAGCCACATTCCGACAACAACCAGCTTTACATCCGTGAAGCTCTTGCAAGCGTTTGAGACGAATGTGCGCGGCGCGGAGGTCAGAGCCATATGTTAAGAAGCAGCCGCCCTCCATCCGCAAAATTCTTGCAAACGTTGAAGACGAATGCTCGTGGCGCTCACTCGAGATCCGCAGTTTGAAAACGACCGGCCCTCCATTCGTGAAGCTCTTGCAACCTTCTGATGCGAATATACGCGGTGCTCATGCGAGGAGCACGACGCCGACGACGTCAACGAGGAGAAGGACGACGACGACGAGGGGAAGGATTCAACTATTGAAATTTGCGCAGGTCTCCCGCTCTAAAAGACTCCTGGGCGCCACTTGTTACCAGATTAGCTCCCTCTGAGGGCTAAGGGGGCCTTGAGGGCATTTCTGTGGCCATCTTCGAGGGCATCGATCAAAGAGGGGGGTTTGATTCAAGATGCTAACGCCATTCCCCCGACCCCCAGAAGTGCCGTGGAATCCACGAACGATGCGTCGTGGATTTCTTGGGCACTATGGGGAGATTCTTGTGGGCGTCTTGGGAGCTGTTTGGGGGCCTGGCGGAGCCTCGTGGAGGCATTTTTGAAGCGTGTTTGGGGCCACCTTGGGGTCTCTTTCGGGCCTTTTGGGGTCCTGTCGGATTTTCGGTTCGTGTTCTCCCTCTTCGCCTCTCTTGGGCCCCTCTTGGGGCGAGTTTTGGCCGTCTTGGGCCCTTTTTTGGACCGTCTTGGAACTCTCTTGGGCCGTCCTGGGGTCTTCGTGAGGGCCCCTTGGAAGTTACGGAGCGGTGTGCGGGGGCCTCTTGGGCCGTCGTGGAGCATCAGGAGCTCGAGAAGACGATAACCACAAAAAACAATGAAACACCCAAAAGGAAACCATTGTTTATTGCCTCTCGGGGCTCCCTTGGGAAGGCTCTTCGGGCGTCTCGCAGGCGTCTTGGAACCATCGTGGGCGTCTTGGGCCAATGGGTCGGCGAGCCGGGACCGTCGTTGAACCTCTTGGAGGCTACGGAAGGCAAATTTGAAAGTTCTTGAGTCTCCAGGGGTGCGCCGAGGAGCCCTCACCCCCCTCCCACCCCAAGAAGGGGGTCCTTGATTTGCATTGCTCCGTCACAGCAAGAAGAAACACCGCTTGGACTTCTATTGGGCGATCTTGGGGCCATCTTCACGCCTCAAAGGCCCATTGGAAGCAAAAAGGCAAGCATCCTAAACACATTGCAGTGCAGTAGGTGCTTTAATGGTTGTGGACTCTCGGGGTTCTCCTGGGAACGCTCCGTGGCCACTTGGAGCCTGTGGCCTCTCGGTGGTGGCGAGTCACCCAGGCCCCCCGAAGATGGTGGCGAGCCAGCAGTCTAGTCCCGCCAGGCCCCAGCGAGGGGGCCAGCAGGACCCGTTCGTCCCAGTGGTCACCGGCTATATCGCGAAGGACATGCGCGTTTGCCGCCTTCTCCACTCGCTGCCGCGGGAGCCGCCGTTAGTCGCCGCCACCTGCGTCGCCGCCGCCATTGTCGTCGTGTCGTCAAGGTCGTCGGCAACGTCGTCGTCCGTCGTCCAGGTCCGTCGTCATCACGATCGTCGACAAAACCTCGTCAGTCTCGTTGCCCTGATCAGGGATGTGGCGGAGCATGTAGTGGAAGAAGGGGATGGGAAGCCGCTGCACCCCAAGAGGGCGAGGATGTATGAGGGATCTGAGGAGGAGGAGGAGGAGGAGGAGGAGGAGAGGAGGAGGGGGAAGTGGGAGGGGGGGTAGGTGGAAGGAGGAGGAGGAGGAAGAGGAATACGTAGGCGGATGAGGAAGAAAAGGAGGACGTCGTCGTCGTCGTCGTGGTCGTGCCCGACGAGGCCGTCCGTCGCCGTCGTCGTCGTCGCCGTCGTCGCCGTCGCCGCCGTCGTCATCGTCGTCGTCGTTGTCGTCGTCGTCGTCGTCGTGGTCTACGTCATTGCGATGCCGCCGCCATCTCGCGGAAGGACCCGCGCGGCTTCATCACAACGCTGGGGCGCCACGGCTCCGATCAGACCGCCGCGATCATCGGTGCGGCGGTGGGGGCGCCGGAGGTGCAGCTCTGGAAGGACCCCAGGGCGCCAAGCATCGCGAAGTTTGAGGAAAACATGCAAATCAGTATTTTTGCACACGTCAGAGTGAGGGGGCTGAGCAGAACGGTCATTCACTGTCCCTGGGTGCGTGGCTGAAGTGGAATTCCGCGATGCGGATTCTTGAGCTCTCATTTCTGAAGAATAATTATTGTTGATCCCCCCGTCCGGTGCACATTGCTTTTTTCGATTGAAGTGCCCTTCTCGGGGCTCGCAACCTGTTTTTTATCAGGGAAGTCCTGAGCGTCAAACTGTGTCATTGGCCCCCGGTTTACAACAACAACAACAACAGCTCCCGCCTGAGACGTCCTCACAATTTAACCGGGCCCCCGCTCCCGCCCGAGACTTCCTTTAGTTTTATTCAGAAATCGCGCTCTCGCTTGGGACTTCCTTAGGATGTATTATCCCGGCGCTCTGGAGTCGCGCTCTCGCTGGAGATTTGCTATCAATTTACTGAAGAACAGCGCCCTTGCGTTGGAATCTCTTGCAATTTACTCAAGCGCCGCGCTCCCGACACCCAGGCACCCAGGAGTCGCGCTCACGCTTTGGACTCCCTCACAGATTACATAGGAATCGGGATCTCGCTGCCCTTCGTGGCCCCGTTGCAGCCCTTCGTGGCCCCCTCGCTTTGTTTCGTGGCCCCGTTGCAGCCTCTCGTGGCCTCCTCGCTGCCCTTCGCGGCCCCGTTGCAGCCCTTCGTGGCCCCCTCGCTTTGTTTCGTGGCCCCGTTGCAGTCCTTCGTGGCCCCCTCGCTTTGTTTCGTGGCCCCGTTGTTGCCTTTCGTGGCCCCCCCGCTGCCCTTCGTGGCCCCGTCGCAGCCCGTCGTGGCCCAGTTGCAGCTTTTCGTGGCCCCCTCGCTGCCCTTCGTGGCCCCGTTGCATCCTTTCGTGGCCCCCTCGCAGCTCTTCGTGGCCCCAGATATGTATGCCCTTCGTGGCCCCCGCTCGTTCGCGCCCGTGGTGGCCCCATATGCATCTGTCCTACGTGGCCCAGTTGCTACCCTCAGTTGCCCCATCGTTGCCTTCTGTGGCCCCGCATTGTCTGCCCTTCGTGGCACCCGCTCGTTCGCGCTCTTCGTGGCCCCATACGCGTTCCCTTCGTGTCCCCGCTGTTGCCCTTCGTGGCCTACTTCGTGTCCTTGTGGCCCTGCTGTCGTTCTCTCTTGCTCTCGCTTTCGCTCGTCGTCGTTGTCGTCGCCGTCGACGTCGTCGTCGTCGTCGTCGTCGTGGTCGGTCCCCTGTCCGTCCCTCTTGGGGTCGGGTCGACGGTCCGCGGCCGCCCCGCCGATCAGCGCTGCTGCTGGCCAGGCCGACGGTCAGCGGCCGCCCCGCCGCTTGCCGGGGCCCAGCCTGCAGGGAAGAAAGGTATACCCCCCAAAAGGGTTCGATCGAAGACGAAGAGGGCGGGTATCGAGGGTTTGGGAAATAGGCGCTTTTGGACACTCGAGCCGATAAGGGCGAACAGTCTTAAAATAATTGAGGTCTCATTTTTGAAAAATAATTATTGTTGATCCCCCCCCACCGGTGCATACTGTTTGTGCTCAATCAAAGTGTGCCCCTCGACGCTCGCACCCTGTTTTTTGTCAGGGAAGTCTTCCTGTTCAAACTGGCCCCTAGCCCCCGGGTTACAACAACAACGGCTCCCGCTTGAGAATTCCTTACAATTTAGCCAGGACCCCCGCTCCCGCCCGAAACTTCCTCGCATTTGATTCAGGAATCGCGCTCTCGCTTGGGACTTTCTTTCAATTTATTCAGGAATCGCTTTCCCGGCGCTCTGGAGTCGCGCTCTCGCTTGAGATTTGCTTGCAACTTACTGAAGGGCCTTGCGTTGGAATTTCCTGCAATTTGCCCAAGCGCCGCGCTCCCGACACCCAGGCATCCAAGAGTCGCGCCCGTTGTGGCCCCATGTGCATGCCCTTCGTGGCCCCGCTGTCGCCATTTGCGCCCCCCTCTCTGTCCTACGTGGCCCAGATGCTACCCTCAGTGGCCCCATAGTTGCCTTCTGTGGCCCCGCATTATCTGCCCTTCGTGGCCCCCGCTCGTTCGCGCTCTTCGTGGCCCCATACGCATTCCCTTCGTGTCCCCGCTGTCGCCCTTCGTGGCCTACTTCGTGCCCTTCGTGGCCCTGCTGTCGTTCTCTCTTGCTCTCGCTTTCGCTCGTCGTCGCCGTCGTCGTCGTCGTCGTCGTCGCCGTCCTCATCGACGTCGTCGTCGTCGTCGTCGTCGTCGTCGTCGTCGTGGTCGGTCCCCTGTCCGTCCCTCTTGGGGTCGGGTCGACGGTCCGCGGCCGCCCCGCCGATCAGCGCTGCCGCTGGCCAGGCCGACGGTCAGCGGCCGCCCCGCCGCTTGCCGGGGCCCAGCCTGCAGGGAAGAAAGGTACACCCCCAAAAAGGGGTTCGATCGAAGACGAAGAGGGCGGGTATCGAGGGTTTGGGAAATACGCGTCATTGGACACTCGAGCATATAAGGGCGAACGGTCTTATACTTATTGTTGTTGTTGGTGGTGTTGGTGTTGGTGTTGGTGTTGGTGTTGTTGTCGTTGTCGTTGGTGTTGTTGTTGTTGTTGTTGTTGTCGTTGTCGTCGTTGTTGTTGAACATTATTACTTCTAAAGAATAATTATTGTTGGGACCCCTGGTGCGCGACCCCCCTCCAAAACCTAGGCCGCAGCTACATTTTCATCATTTTTTAGCGAAAGCTTCAGAAAAGTGAATTATTACCGGATCCGGTTGTTTTGTTGTACTCCGTTTTCCCTTGCAAAAAACACTATAAAATGAAAATTCTTGTTCTTACTTGATCAAATTGCAAGAATCCCTTGCAAAAAATAAGGTAAAGTGGACATTCGTGCGCGCAAGACGAAATCCTTCCAAAACCTTAGGTTTCGTAACGATTTTAACATAAAAACATCAAAAACCCAATGGTTTTTTAAGAAAAAATTGTCAAAATGTCCTTCCGCGCGCGCTGTCCGAATCCCACAAAACCAATGGTTTTTCAACATTTATGTTACATGAGCTCGCGCGAGCTACTTTTTCTTGTTCTAACATAATCAAATTTCAATAATCCCTTGCAAAAAATAAGGTAAAGTGGACATTCGCGCGCGCAAGACGAAATCCTTCCAGAACCTTAGGTTTCGTAACGATTTCAACATAAAAACATCAAAAACCCAATGGTTTTTCAAAAAAAAATGTCCAAATTTCATCCCGCGCGCGCTGTCCGACTCCCACAAAACCAATGGTTTTTCAACATTTATGTTACATGAGCTCGCGCGAGCTACTTTTTCTTGTTCTAACATAATCAAATTTCAATACTCCCTTGCAAAAAAAAGTAAAGTGGACATTCGCGCGCGCAAGACCAACAAAAAACACGACGATCTCAGGAACTTGCCCCAAAAATGTGACCAACTCCGCTCTCTCTGTCTCTCTCTCTGTCTGCTCTCTGTCTCTCTCTCTGTCTGTCTGTGTCATGTATTGTATGTCACAATTGCAGGATGCTGGGCACACGCGCGCCCCGAATAAGTGACCAAGTTCTGTGGGTGTGTACCCCACGCCAGTGTAGTAGCCACGGTCGTCCGCACGCCACGAAGTGAAGTGTCCCAACGTCATAGGGCGGGAAGCTGGGTTTGGGTGGTCGCGAAGAGTCGTTTGGATATTTGGTAGAGCTTGAACTGCCCCCCCACGAAGTGGGGGTATTGTCTCGCGTCGCATGAAAACCCTGGCACTGGTGAGAACACTGAGCGTTCGGGTAAAATGATTGTTGTTGTTGTTGTTGTTGTTGTTGTTGTTGTTGTTATTGTTGTTGTTATTGTTGTTGTTCTTGATATTGTTATTGTTGTTGTTCTTGTTGTTGTTCTTGTTGTTGTTGTTGTTGTTGATGATGGTTGTTGTTGGTTGTTGGGTGTTGGTTGTTGGTTGTTGGTTGTTGTTTGCTGTTTGTTGTTGTCGTCGTCCCACCCGCGACCCGCCCCGCGACCCACCCGCGACACACCCCGCGACCCACCCGCGACCCACCCGCGGCACACCCCGCGACCCACCCGCGACCCACCCCGCGACCCACCCGCGACCCACCCGCGACCCACCCGCGACCCACCCCGCGACCCGCCCGCGATCCACCGCCCTCTTGGGAGTCCTCTTGGGGTCTCCATGAGGCGTCTTGGAGGCCTCTTGGACCGTCTTCAGGCCATCTTGGGCGTCCAGGAGCGCTCTTGGGCAGTTCCGGGAGCCTCCTAGACCGTCCTGGTGGCCTCCTGGGCCCCTTTTGGCCCGTCTGGGGGCGGTTTGGGATTCCCGGGGGGGGGGGGGAAGAAGAAAGGGTGGACCCCATGAACCCCTCCCCCCCCTACCCTGGCAGAGCCACTCCGCCCCCCCCAGCAGAGCTGAAGTTCAGGTTGTAGTTTTTAAAACTCACACGCCGGATCGGCGGATGACGGGAAGCGCCTTCTCGGAACGAGAAGGTGATGGGAGTTTGTTCGGCGATGCTGAATAAGGTATAAATAAAGAGCAAACTCGCGAGGGACAATTGGCCCGTGATTGTGAAAGGCTTTTTGGTTGGGAAGCGCCTTCTCGGAACGAGAAGGTGATTGGAGTTTGTTAGGCTATGTTGAATAAGGTATAAATGAAGAACGCACTCGCGAGGGACAAGTGGCCCGTGATTGGAAAAGGTTTTTTCGTTGGCGGATGACGGGAAGCGCCTTCTCGGAACGAGAAGGTGCTGGGAGTTTTATCGAGGAAGCGTTCCTCAGTATATTAGAAGAACAGAGACGCGAGGGACAACGGGCTCGCGATTGGGCGGGGTCCATCGCTTGGCGGATGGCGGGAAGCGCCTTCTCGGAAGGAGAAGGTGGTGTGAGTTTTATAGAGGAAGCGTTCCTCAGTATATTCGAAGAACAGGGACGCGAGGGACAACGGGCTCGCGGCTGGGCGGGGTCCCCGTTCGAGACATCCTATAACAAGTGGGATCTTGAAGGACTTGTTTTAAGACGCTTTCCGTCAAAA